TGTAATCCTTTGGATATATACCCAGTAATGGGATTGCTGGGTCAAATGGAATTTCTATTTCTATGTCCTTGAGGAATCGCCACACTGTCTTCCACAATGGTTGAACTAATTTACACTCCCACCAACAGTGTAAAAGTGTTCCTACTTCTCCACATCCTCTCCAGCATCTGCTGTCTCCAGATTTTTTAATGTTTGCCATTCTTACCGGCGTGAGATGGTATCTCAATGTAGTTTTGATTTGCATTTCTCTTATGACCAGTGATGATGAGCATTTTTTCATATGTCTGTTGGCCTCACGTATGTCTTCTTTTGTAAAGTGTCTGTTCATATCCTTTGCCCACTTTTGAATGGGCTTGTTAGTTTTTTTCTTGTAAATCTGCTTTAGTTCTTTGTAAATTTTGGATATCAGCCCTTTATCAGATGGGTAAACTGCAAAAATTTTTTCCCAATCTGTTGGTTGCCGATTCACTCTAATGATTGTTTCTTTTGCTGTGCAGAAGCTGTGGAGTTTGATTAGGTCCCATTTGTCTATTTTGGCTTTTGTTGTCAATGCTTTTGGTGTTTTGGTCATGAAGTCCTTGCCTACACCTACGTCCTGAATGGTTTTGCCTAGATTTTCTTCTAGGGTTTTTATGGTGTTAGGTCTTATGTTTAAGTCTTTAATCCATCTGGAGTTAATTTTAGTGTAAGGTGTCAGGAAGGGGTCCAGTTTCTGCTTTCTGCACATGGCTAGCCAGCCGCGTAGCTCAGCTGGTGAGCTCCTGGTGCTCAGCCAAATCAATTCTAAGCAAGAAGAACAAAGATGGAAGCAGCATGCTACCTGACTTCAAACTATATTACAAGGCTACAGTAATCAAAACAGCATAGTACTGATACCAAAACATAGATACAGACCAATGGGACAGAACAGAGGCCTCGGAGGCAATGCCACACATCTATAACCATCTGATCTTTGACAAACCTGACAAAAACATGCAATGAGTAAAAGATTTCACTGTTTAATAAATGGTGTTGGGATAATTGGCCAGCCATGTGAAGAAATCAGAAACTGGACCCCTTCCTGACACCTGACACTAACATTAACTCCAGATGAATTAAAGTGTTTAACATAAGACCTAACACTATAAAATCCCTAGAAGAAAACCTAGGCAAAACCATTCAGGACATAGGCATAGGGAAGGACTTCATGACTAAAACATCAAAAGCATTGGCAACAAAAGCCGAAATAGACAAACGGGATCTAATTAAACTCCAGAGTTTCTGCACAGCAAAATGAACAGTCATTAAAGTGAACTGGCAACCAACAGAATGGGAAAAAATTTTTGCTCTCTACCCATCAGACAAGGGCTAATATCCAGAATCTACAAAGAACTAAAACAGATTTACAAGAAAAAAACAAACCCATTCCAAAGTGGGTGAAGGTTATGGACAGACACTTTTCAAAAGATGACATATTTGAGGCCAACAAACATGAAAAAATGTTCATCATCACTGGTCATTAGAGATATGCAAATCAAAACCACATTGAGATACCATCTCACACCATTTAGAATGGCGATCATTAAAAAATCTGAAGACAGATGCTTGAGTGGATGTGGAGAAATAGGAACACTTTTACACTGTTGTTGGGAGTGTAAATTAGTTCAACCATTGTGGAAGACAGTGTGGCGATTTCTCAAGGACCTAGAAATAGAAATTCCATTTGACCCAGCAATCCCATTGCTTGGTATGTATCCAAAGGATTACAAATCATTCTATTATAAAGACACATGCACACGTATATTCATCGTGGCACTGTTTACAATGGCAAATACCTGGAACCAACCCAAATGCCCATTGATGATAGCCTGGACAGGGAAAATGTGGCACATATACACCACGGAATACTATGCAGCCATAAAAAAGGACGAGTTTATGTCCTTTGTAGGGACATGGATGAACCTGGAAACCATCATTCTCAGCAAACTGACACAAGAACTGAAAATCAAACACCGCATGTTCTCACTCATAGGTGGGTGTTGAACAATGAGAACACATGGACACAGAGAGGGGAGCATCACACACTGGGGTCCTCTAGTTCCCTAGTTGGGGGGAACTAGGGGAGGGATAGTGGTGGATAGGGAGTTGGGGAGAGATAACATTGGGAGAAATGCCAGATATAAGTGATGGGGGTGGAGGCAGCAAACCACATTGCCATGTAGGTACCTATGCAGCAATCCTGCATTTTCTTCACATGTACCCCAGAACCTAAAGTACAATAAAATATATATTTGAAAATATTAAATTAAAAAAAAAAAGAATTATGTTTTTTTTCCTGGTTTGGCCTTCAAATGACGGAAGCTTTCCTATTCACTTTGGCTCCCCATCTGAGCCTGAGAACTGCTCCCAAACAGCAAGAAACATGAGGTTCTAGCTAGCCCTGTAGTCTTACTCAAGTAACCTTTGCAGTGTGAAGCAAAAAGCAGAAGTTTTTAAAGTTAGCCTTCTGCTCAAAGGGCAGTGAGACTGCGTGTTTTCCATTGCCAGAAGGAATGGAAAACTTAAGATTCTAGGTTTTTTTTTTTTTTTTTTCTTTTTGTGCCATACATTATAGAACAATTGGGAATGTGGTTTAAGAAAATAATTATAGGTACATGTAGAAATTTACCTTCTAGGATGTTTATTATTTTAAAAAAAAGAAAGAAAAAAAAAATGAAGGAGAGAAAGAAAGAGGAAGAGAAGAGAGAGAGAGAACGGAAGTGTTGCTTTATTGCCCAGGCTAGAATGCAGTCTAAAAATGGGTATTGAAAACCTCTTTTATACCAATAATTGTGCTTAATAATGGAGACAGAAAAAAAATGAGGGAAGAAAATAACAAACAAGCAGCCAACCAATATTTCATTTAAACCTGTAAGTAGGCATGATGTGGTGCTGATAAGCGTGTATATTTTGTGTATTTAAAGTGGAGAGTTCTATAAATGTTTATTTAGTTTACTTGTTCCGGATCTGAGTTGAAGTCCTGGATATCCTTGTTAATTTTCTGTCTCATTGATCTGTCTAATATTGATGTTGAAGTGTCCCACTATTATTGTATGGGAGTCTAAGTCTCTTTATAAGTCTTATGTATCTGGGTGTTCCTGTATTGAGTGCGTATATATTTAGGATCATTAGCTCTGGATGTTTATTATAGAGTTATTTCATATAAGAACAAATGTGAAAGCATACAAATGACTCAGAATAAGGAAATAGTTAAATAAATAATATATATTCAAAGGATGTACTATTATGTAACTGTTAAATCATGTTTTTGGAAAATACTGAATGGCATCAAAAATGTACATGACAATTGGAAAAAGCAGTATTAAAATAACAGCATTAGAATATTATAAAGTGTTATCACCAAGTTTAGAGATGACCAGTAAAAATTATGACTATTTTAATTACAATATCGGAGTTGGATTTAATATGGTACCTAATAAATCTTTTCTTAGCATGAGAGGCTAGACAGACACACAATGTTTTTTGAATTCTGGTTTCAAAATGCACATACAGTATTAATAGTTGTTATCTTAGGCTGGTGGGATTCTAAGTGCTTTTTGTTTTATTTTTAAGCTTTAAATTGGTATTTTTCAAATGTTCTACAATGAATTTGTATTTGATTCATAATTTTTAAAAAGGTCAATATATGACTTCTTTAGTCAAGTGTTTTCTCATTTCAAAATTTCTAAATCTTAGCCAGTTCTGAAGAGGCCACAGTATATTTAGTTGGGAAAGCTTATTTTGGTCTGTTATTGTATAGGAATTATGGCCTGTTTGACTACTTTGCTGTTTCATAACCAAATATTACTTGTAATTCAAATGTTGCTGGTAACAAAGGGTGATTTGCTTAGTTATCATTTATATGTATAATACAGGTGGCATTGACAACATTGAGAGAATCCAATAATTTAAAAAATTTTTGCCTTTGGGAATAGAAAAGCACTCTTTTAAATTCCAATAGTATACATGAGACTGGTGTACTATTCTTTGACATTTTAGCTGAAAAATCTTATTCTGTGGCAGCTTTGCTTGGCTTTTTAATTTGACAGGGTAATTAAAATACTCACCATTTGTATCGGTTATATCTAAGCTTGTTGATAACATTTCACATGATTCTAATGCTGTTATTTTTAGTGCTTTTTTTACATTTACCATGTGTATTTTTGATGCCATTCAATATTTCCCAAAATCATGATTTAACAGTTACATCATATCCTTTGACTATATGTTATTTAACCATTCAGTTATTGTGAGTCATTTACATATTTTCTTATTTCTTCTTAGGCCAAATTACTCTACAGTGAAGATTCTAGTCCTTGTTTCCTTTCCCTACCTATTCCCCTCTCCAAAAGTTAGAGTCCTAACTTCTAAAAAGCTGGCATGCTCTGACAACTCCAGCTTTTTCTGTGAAAAACAAGGACACTTTGAAACATTGCGCTTGTTTCATAGTGTTTCAGTTGGGAAACCATCATCTTATATGTGATCCTCTTTATTTTTTTTAATAGAGATGGAGTGTTGCTTTGTGGCCCAGGCTGGTCTCAAGCTCCTGACCTTGAGTGATCCTCCTGCCTCAGCCTTATAAAGTTCTAGGATTACAGGCTTCAGACACTCTGCCTGGCCTGTGATCCTCATTTTAAAAAGGACTATATTCACTCTATTACAGTCACCTTTAAAATAAAATAAAAAAACTCTTCATGGGAAAAGTTGCTATAACTGTATTTTTCAGTTTGAGCATAAAATAATAATTCTAATAATTTATTAATGAGATGGAGAGGACATAGTCTGACTACTGTCAAAGCTTTTCAGACTTTATAAAGAGGAAGAGATTAACCAAGTCTGATTAGGTATCCAAAGATCATTGCTCTCTGTCTTCTGTCAATTTTAGACCTAGTGACAATAATTGCAAAATTCCTGAATTACAAATGGTATTACCAAAACATTCTACCATAATAACTTTTCTTTCTTTTTTTTTTTTTTTGAAGGTGCCAAATCAATCATTCAGGAGTTTCCAGAGATCACAATTTTAACTACTGAAGTTCATCCTGTTGCACCTACACATTTTGGACAGAAATACTTTGGAACAGACTAAGTTATTGAAGTAAAATGAATTATCTCGTGTAATATTACAATCATGTTTTGATTTTCTATTTGTTTTACTGATTCAGTTGAGGGTGCCAGAAAAAAATGTGTTAAAATGCTTTTTAGTTTTAGAAGTGGGTATATTGGAGGTTATATCTCATTTAGTTATTTCTTTACTGTTAGCACCAAATTCAATAATGAAGTACATGCAATTCTTATAAAACACAAATTTTAATAATACCCTAATATAAATTACTGAGCCCTCAAATCATTAAAATTATTTCCTAATTTATGAGCCTCTTAGTTTGGAGGTTGCTTGAAGCCACAAATAAAACTCAAATGGGAGCCAGTTCTTTGTCCCATTGTATTTTGCATTTTGTTTAGTTTGGTTTTAGCTCTAGTAAGATTTCATATATGTGGCTATTGCCACATTCTTCTACTGTTTTCTTTCTGATACTGTTTATTCTAGTAACTTGGAGAGGAGAATAAAAGAATGTCTCCTGGAATTTTACATTCCTATTAATGTCCTAACTCAATTGGCAGACCTAGGATGTATGGGTAACTCTCAGGCCATTATGTTCTTCATTGCTCATTTCCCAAGCTGTGCATTGTCGGTAGGTGCCTTGCTAAGCTGAAATGCAGTGAAGAAGATGGTGGGGCATTTTCGGTAACTGGAACTATAACAATAATTTACAAGATTGAACCAGGTATGTCTGGATGCTGACAAGGGAGAGAGAGCCAAGCACTGTTGATGCCATCAATACTCCAGGAAGGAATTGGTGGTTTTTCTGAAGTGTGGGAGAAAGGGTGGTTTCTTGCTGAATTTCATGGCCAGCAAGTAAATTTAAATGCTTCATTTTTAATTTGGATGTTTCTGCTAGAGACCTTTGATTTGGAATTAGTTATTTTGCATGTTTGTCAATGGTAGATGTATTAAAATAGAAAAAATACCATGCTTTTTATAAAAACTCCTAAGATTTGTGTATGTTCATCTTTATGCTTCTGAAAGGGAGAGAAACAATTTTGGAAATCAATGTTCCTGTTCTGAAATCTCTTGTAAAACTCTGATCTCATTTTACGTTGAGATTAAAACATTTTAATAGTGGTGCCTAGCTGAGCACTTGATTAATTATACTCCCATGGCCCTATAGGCCATGTTGTGGGCCTCTGTTCAAAAGCACAGAAGGAAATGTCTTAGAAAAAACCAAAGCCAATGAAATCACCAAAGATTACGGGAGAGGAAGGAAGCCTGGTGTAGATTGGGTTATATTTTTTCTTTGGAGACTAGAATACTAGAAGAATTTCAGTATATTTTTCCCTTTATTTTTGAAGACTGTCGTATAATAAATTGAGATTAATAGGTAGATTACCCATATTACAGTTCTTCCATGGCAAATGTTGCTTTCAAGTTGTTACTGAAATTATCTTCTATACTTGTCAGTTAATTATCGTAATACAGTGTGGATTTTGTTTACTCCTGACTAGTAGAAGCTATAACTAAAGCCCGTTAAAGCCAAAAGTTCCAACTCCCCCTCCCAGGACAGATATGAACCAGCAAATTTAGATGAAGAACAGATACGCTTGAGATTAGTGCATCGAGCTAGTTGAAAAGATGATGCCTACCACTATAGGAGGTAGTGCTTTTAAATTAGTGCTTATGTTAGGGCTTCAGTATTTCATTTAAGGTGACTTTCGAAGACGTCAGACAATTTATATTCAAGTGTAGATATAAAACCATATTTTAAGCAAATTATTTTTGTATTACTAGTCATTTAGGTTTAACATGTCTTTGTTCCTTGATAGAGAGTTAGTTGACTACATTTGGTTCCCACATGAAAGGCCTAGAATGAACAGTAGAAAGTATGCAATGAAGTCATAGTCCCCCCGATGTTTCTCTTCTATTCCTATTTAGATTTCAAGAAAATTATACCTGTGGCTTTTGAAATTTAGGTCTTTATAGCAAATGAGGCATTATTTGTAGGGTTAAACACTTGCAGGACTCTTCAAGCGTTGGGCATTTTCTAAATATTCTAAATTTAACACAAGATTAACATACTATTCAAAATAAGACTATTCAAAACAGACTCTTCAAAATAATAATAGGGAGAAATGGAATGTTTCATGATAAAGAGTCAACATATCAAGAGAACATAACAGTCCTAAAAGTTTTGCTCCTAACAACAAAGCTTGAAAACACATAAAGAAAAACTGATAGAACTGAAAAGGAGAAACAAATATAAGTTTTAGTCAGAGATTTCAACAATCCTCTGTTGTTTTTAAGTGATCTGAACTTCAGAGCAGTATAAACTGTGTATATTCCTTACTGGGGAACACACCCTAGCACAATAAAAACAACACTCCAGTAGTATATGCAGTGGTTCTCAAAACTTGGATGTGCATCAGAATCACCTAGAGGGCCACAGATTGCTGGGCTCCACCCTTAGAGCTTCTGATTCAGTAGGTCTCTGTTAGGGTCCAAGGATTTACATTTCTAACAGCTTCCCATGATATGCTAATGCTGATGCTTTGGAGACCACATTTTGATTTCAGACTTTTTTTTTTTTTTATAATATGTTTCATTTTCATTTACATCACAATACTTGCTCATTTCTCATTTCATTTCTTCTTTGTCCCAGGGTTATTTAGAAGCATGCCATTTAATTTCCAAATACAAGATTTTCCAGATTTCTTTCTGTTATTGCTTCCTAATTTAATCCCATTGTGGTGACAGAATATACTTCTTCTTTGAATCCTTTAAAATTTATTGAGACTTGTTTTATGGCCCAGAATATAGTATCTTTTGGTAAATCTTCCATGTGTTCTTGAAAAGTATGTTTTATCCTGCTGTTTTTGGATAGAGTGTTCTGTGAATGTCAATTAGGTTAAGTTGGTTGATAGTGTTGTTCAAGTCTTCTACTTTCCTGACTTTCCCTTTTTTTGTCTGCTCCTTCTAAGGCAACTTTACAGTTTTTTTTTTTTTTTTTTTTTTTTTTTCTATTTATTGTATTTTTTTTTAGAGGAGGATTATTGAAATCTCTGACTAAAATTTATATTTGTTTCTCCTTTCAGTTCTATCAGTTTTTGCTTTATGTATTTTGAAGCTTTGTTGTTAGGAGTGCAAAGTTTTAGGATTGCTATGTTCTCTTGATAAGTTTATCATGAAATATTCCCTTTTATACATTATTATTCTTGTGACATCTACTTTGGCTGATGTTAATATACATATTCTGACTTTCTTTTGAATAATATTAACATGGCATTTCTTTTTTCATCCTTTTACTTTTTGTTTTTTGAGATGGAGTCTCACTCACTCTGTCACCCATGCTGGAGTGCAGTGGCATGATCTTGGCTCACTGTAACCTCTTCCTCCTGGGTTCAAGTGATAGTTCTGCCTTATCCTCCCAAGTGGCTGGAATTACAGGCATGTACCACCATGCCCAGTTAATTTGTGGGTTCTTTGTAGAAATGAGGTTTCACCACATTGGCCAGGCTTCTCTCAAACTCCTGACCTCAAGTGGTCCACCTACCTCAACTCTTCAAAGAGCTCGGATTACAGGCATGAGCCACCATGCCTGGCCTCATCTATTTACTTTTAACTTATGTGTGAGGTTTTCTTGAGAGAGGGTCTAATTCCATCACCCCTGCTGGAATGCAATGGCATGATCATAGTTCACTGTAACCTTGAACTCCTACGCTAAAGTGATCCTCCCACCTCGGACTCCCAAGTAGCCAGGACTATAGGCATGCATCACCACACCTGGCTAATTTAAATTTTTTTTTTTTTTTTTTTAGAGATGAGGTCTTGTTATGCTGCCCAGGCTGATCTTGAACTCCTGGCTTCAAGTGATCTTCCCACCTTAGCCTCCCAAAACCATGAGATTACATGTTTGAGCCACACACACCCAGCCCTATTTGTGTTTTTATAGATATTTTTTATTAAACATTTAAAAATTTTATTTCTAGAGACAGAGTCTGGCAATATTGCCCAGGCTGGACTTTAATTTCTATTTTCTGAGTAGCTGGTACCACAATCATGTACCACACATGAATTATTTTTATATTTAATCTGGGTTTCTTATAGTTAACCTAGAGTTGGGTCTTCCTTTTTTATCCAATTTGACACTCTCTGCCTTCTAATTGGGATGGTTTGACCATTTTTATTTAATGTGATTATTGATATGATTGGTTTAAAATTTACCATCTGGCTATTTGCCTTTTATTTGTTCTTTATTTACTTTTTCTCTTTTCCTACCTTCTTTTGCATTATTATTTATGATTCCATTTTACCTCTTCGGATTATATTAGATACAATGCTTTGTTCTTTTAGTGGTTCCTTTAGGGTTTTTAGTATATAACTTTAATTTATCACAGCCCACTTCAAGCATAAGATAAGAATTTAATGTACTTCTATTCCCCCACTCAAGACTTTTTCCTATTGTTGTCATATGTTTTACTTCTACACATGTTAAACCTCATAATACATTGTGCATTGTTTTTTTCTTTTGCTTTCAATACATTCAAAAAGCTACAAAAAGAAATAAGACTCATGCCTGTAATCTCAGCACTTTGGGAGGCCGAGGTGGGTGGATCACAAGGTCAGGAGTTCGAGGCCAGCCTTGCCAACCTGGTGAAACCCCATCTCTACTAAAAATACAAAAATTAGTTTGGTATGGTGGTATGTTCCTGTAATCCCAGCTACTTGGAAAGCTGAGGCAGGAGAATTGCCTGAACCTAGGAGGTGGAGGTTGCAATGAGCCAAGGTTATGCCATTGCACTCCACCCTGAAAAACAGAGGGAGATTCCATCTCAACAACAACAACAACAACAACAACAAAAAACAAAACAAAACAAAACAAAATAAATAAGAAAAAAAGTCTTTTTATTTTTTTATATTATACTTTAAGTTCTGGGATACATGTGCAGAACGTGCA